TCCAGTTGACCTCAAACTCATGGCAATCCTCCTGCCTCAGCCTCCCTAGTGCTGGGATTACAGGCATGGTCCACCACATCTGGCTCTCTCAGATGCTTTGAAACCCACTACCCAAGCCACTTATTATGCACCTGGAGGCAGGTAGTATCATGCCCACTGTATAGGAGAGAAATCAGACCTGAGGGTACAGATAGCACCCAGCTGAGATCAGAGCCCAGGAGATTGGGAATCGCCAGATTCCAGTCCTGAGCTCCTCTCTCTGAGGTCTTGTTGGATCCATGTTCTCCCCAGGGGATGGGTGACCTCCCTCGCCACCAGCTTGGCCAGCCCCCACCTCAGTCCCTGGGTACTAAGTAGGCAAGCCCAGCTGTCTCTGGCAGACCTGTCACAGATCACACAGCCATCCTCTCCAAGGGGAGCTCACAGCTAGCAGACCCCAAAGCCCTGCTCACCCAAGTAGGGGGGCAGTGTGAGCTCTCTCCTGAGCTCTCACAGTTTCTCAGGCCCCACTTTTTTTTTTTCTTGGGTACCGGAGATCGAACTCTGGACCTTGAGCTTTCGAGGCAGAAGCCAGAACCACTGAGCTAAATCCCCAGTCCAGGTCCCCCCTTTGTATGGCCAGTAAGTGGTTTGATCCCCAGCCTGGGGGCGTGGAGGTGCTTTTTTGAAGAATCTTTAAAGACTTCAGAGAATGTTCACGACAGGGGGCAAAAGCTGATTCAGACCTCTCTCAACAGCACGTGCCCCATTATTTAACTCTATAGATCTATGAACACATGGGAAAGCCTGCAAAGGAGATACACTGCCCTAGTCATAGTGCTTATCTTTGGATGGTGCAATTCTTGATGCTTTTTATTTTCTCCTTGTTTTCTATATTTCCAACTCTTGTGTAATGAAAACATGCCATTATAAAAGGAATTCAACCCAGCTTGTTCATACCTGCTTCCACCCTGCAGGGTTCTGGGAAATGATGGTGAGGAAGAAGCTGAGCACTACAGCTCCCAGCTAAGGATGCCTGCATCCGGGGAACTGCGCCCAGCCTCCGGGTAGCCATCACAGGCCATGCCAGGATGCTGAAGGAGCTGGGCACTGCCCGCCTGCTTCAGCTGGCACAGCTGCCGCTGCAGTGGGCAGGAGGCCAGGACGAGGGCGGCAGGAGGCTGAAGCCAGGCTTTCTGCCGAGGAAGCAGCGTTGCAGCCTGACTGGCTGCCGACAGGCCGCCCGACAGGCAGGCTATCCGACAGGCTAGGGGCCGGCGGCTTTTAGCTACAGGGCATCTCTGGGGGTTGGGGGTGGCCTGGAGCCGATCTCTGTGGACACTGAGGGAGGTCTTCTTCCCAGGCCAGCAGTCATACTGGACCTGCTCACCTGCCCCTGGATCCCTGACACGGGGCCAAGGCACTGGGCCTCTGGGGTCAGAGGTGTCACCCTCTTGTGCTCAGAACCCAGAAGAAAACAAAGAAGAAGGAAGCCCAGAGCTGTCAGCGTGTGGGAAGCCATAGGACGATTCAGGCTGGGCCAGGCTGGGCTCTGTCATTGGTGGTAATGAGCTTTTCCTGTCCCCTACCCCATGTCCCCAAGCTCCTTCCCGTCGTCTGTCTCCTCCTCACTCACTGACCTCAGCTCTCCTCTAAGTGCCACCTTCTCCTCACTGAGCCTCCTGCCCTTCAGTGCGGCCCCCTTGTGGGTTCCTTCCTCCTTCATTAGGAGCTGTTTCGCAGCTCTCCACAGACCCAGGGAGTTGAAGGAAAATAGAAGGCACTCACCAAATGTTGATTGTATTTTTCCTGTTCTTGCTGGCCCACCCCACCTGACTTGCACTAGTTGCCCCTTCCAGTTGAAAAATCCCTTCTCCCCCAAACCCAATGAATCAGTGTCAAGCCACTCCACCCCTGTTGCTCCTCTGCAGCTGTGCATGGGGGTCCTGGGGGCCTCCTGGGCTCTGGTGGACAACTCTGGGAGGTGTGGGGAGGGCATCTTCAGGGTCACTTCCAACTGGGGGCCTGGGGGCACTAATCTTAGTTCAGTTAGAGTCCTGGGATCCCCAGGTGAGCTATGGGACCCATCCAGGTGGTTTTTCTCTTTGAGTTAGGACCCCAAACTTGTCATTTGGAGGGACAGGTGAATTTGAAATCTGAGCTGAAATATAAACCTTGAAACACAGGAGGTGACTTCTACCTCTGCTGATAGAACCACAGGCTTCCTGGTGTATGGATTTATAGAGCAGAGAGACCTTAAAATCTTGGTACTAATGGGACTTTGGGTTTATCTACTCAAATCCTATCATCTTATGGCCAGGGATACCGACCCAGAGATGAGAAGGGACGTGTCCAAGATCACACAAGAAGCCAGGATCACAGCTGGGCCCAGAAGGAAGGTCCTTGGACTTCTGTCCCAGAGCCTTGCAGCTCCTCTAGCACATGCCATTTTGCATGACCCCTGCTGGCCTGCAGTGCCCTGGCTGACCCTCACCCAGGAGAGCCTGGAGAAGCAGGGACAGTGTGGTGTTGCAGAAACCACCTGAGCTACTGAGTGGGCTTGGCTTGCACCAAGACCTTGCTCTGTGACCTTGGAAAGTCACATCACACTTCCGGGCTTTGCTTTGCTCCTATGTGAAAGGGAGACAGCAGCACTTTTACACCTGGTTCTGTGAGGATGAGATGAGAGCTTGTGTGTGAAGGTTCAGGCCCATGGGCAGGGGCTCCAGTGTGTGCAAGAGCTAAGGAAGAGATGCTGGGCTCCCCTAACCTCCTCATCAGCACCCCTGGCTGGCTTCTGGGGTAGGAGGAGCTATAACTTTGTCCCCGAGAGCAGTGAGATGAGGGTAGAGGAGGAGAGGGGAGCAAGAGAGTCTGAGCCCGGCAGTGCTGGCAGTTGACTGTGACCATGGGGCACTCAGGGGATGGCCACTTAGAAAGGAACAGGCACCACCAGCTTGCCAAGGTTGGCAAGAGGCTGCCAGGCAGAGGCAGTGGGATGTAGGTGCAGCAGTGAACAGATGGACCTGGCCCAGACTTCCTTTGGAGATGGGACAATGGCAGGGGTGGGTGGCAGTGGCAGTGCCCAGCTTTCCGTTTAAAGCACATTCTACCTCAGAATATCCTGGTGACCTTGGGAGAGTCATCTCCTTACTGCACTGCACACCCTCACCCATATGCCTCAGACTCCCCACCTGTGCAGCTGGCACCATGAATCAAGAAACTGGCATTTAACTGGGCCTTGATATAAAGAAGTTGAGACAGGTTGTCAATAACATTTCTGCCCCTGGGAAGGTAGCTCAAGTGCCTCCATGACCTTGGGAAAGTCACTAAGACCTTGTCTCTCAGCTCTGAAAAAGGGACTATAATGTCTTCCTTGGGGAGCTTTTGTGAGGATTATCAGAGTCAACTGTAGCATTGTGCCCCACACACAGCCTGGTATGATGCCCTCCACTAATGTCCACCTCCTCTGGGAAGAGAAAGATGTGCTTCAAACATTGTTGAACCCTTCCCACCTTATCTAGCTTCTCCTTAAGCAACTCTTACTCATATTCTATCTAACACTCATCCAGAACCTTACAGCTTCAAAGTAGTTTCCCATCGACTATCTCACTGTCTTTTTTTTTTGGTACCAGGGATCAAACTCAGGACCTTGCGCTTACAAAGCAGGCGTTGGAACCACTGAGCTAAATCCCCAGCCCTATCTCACTGTCTTTTGAACAGCAGAACCAGGCTCACCTGAGGCCACATAACCTAGATTTGACCTCATGTCTCTCTGACTTCAGAGTCCATGACTCCTGACTCCCACCTTTGAAAACTCAATCCATTCTTTAGTCACTCTTCAAGAATTCCTCCTCCAACCCTCACAGGGAAGTGGGATGGGATATAAAGTTAAAGAACCAAAAAAGCTGGTGTTGTGTGGGAGCAATTTCATACCCCTATTTCTGGCTGAGGGGGAACCTGCCACAACCTGGGACCATGACTTTAAGATGCCTCCTGGATAGAGGAACTCTCTGGCCCCTGTCCTGCTGTGCATCGAAGTACCAACTTTTCCTCTTGACACAGGGCAAAAGCCCAGCCCAGGCCCCTGATGGTAGGAGCAGGGGAGTGAGTGAGGGCCTGGGGAAGTGAGAAGTTACGGCTGGGACAGAACACAGACACTGGATACCAGGTCAGGCCTGGTGCTTTTCTTTTGCTCCCCTGAGCTCTTTCCTCCCAATGGACCTGCTGCCAGGAGCAGGAACTGCAGGAGACTTCAACACTGTCCAGTCAGGCGCCCTGGGAAGGAGGGGGAGGAGGCGGCAAGGCAGAGGCTTCGTCTCTTTTCTCAGCCTTCCTCTCTACCAGGAATTTGCCATGGGGCTGGGCCCACTCTGACCTCTAGAAAGTCTCTCTGGGCATCCAGAAAGGCTGCCAAGAGCCCACCTCCCAAACTCCTAGTGGCTATTTTCTCATCTGGGTCCACCATTGGTTTCCCAGTGTGAGTAAATGCCAGCCTGTGGGAGGCCCAGTTCTCATTGCCAGGTCCTGCCTCCCCAGGGGCGTTTGGGTAGCTGGGAAAGGGGCCAGACTGTCCTCTTAAGGGCACCCCCTGCTGGACAGAGGCCCAGCATCCAGGTGGGGGCCTGCTTCCTCCACCCCTGCCAGTGACTAGCATCTCCACAGGGACCCGCATCTAGGTCTCTCTTCCTTAGGGGCAGCTCTTTCTCCTCAGTTGGGGGAGAGCAACTGGACTGCAGTTGTGGGGGCCTCCCTGGCATCTTGATGGGCAGGGGCATGGTAATGTATGCCCAGGTCTTGCCCATGACCCTGCAGGGTTTTCACTTTCTCCATCCCTCTCAGTGAAAAGAACAACGTTCCTCATTTCTATCCCCCAGGTGACTCACACGCCCAGACAGACACTTTAGCAGTTTCCCAAAGCCCACCCTTTGCCCTGGGCCTGCAGACTAGGGTCCCAGGCCCTAGGTTCAAGCCAGCCCCAGCCCCTCTGGGAATTCCTTCGCCCCACCAGGGGCTCTCACCTCCTTGCTGACCGCCGCGCTCTGCTGGGCGCTGGAGCCAGGCCCTCTGGCCCGCCTTGGCCGGGCCGCCTCCTTGGCTCAGCGCGGCCGGGCAGCTCTGCTGCCCCCGCGGCCCCGCGCCCTCCGTCTCCCCGCGGGCGCCACCGCCGATTGCTGAAATGCTGGACAGCTCACCACCATCGAGGCGGCCTTCTGGGCCGCTCGCTGGCTAGAGCGGCACAGCGCCTGGCGCCCACAGCGCCCTCCGCAGCCCTGGAGGCTCGCCCGCGGCGGAGAGAAGGGGCAAGGCTTCCAGGAAGGACATTGCCCCACGGAACCTGTGTCTCATCCCTCACGGATGGCGCGTGCCAGCTCCGAGAGAAGCCTGGGTCAGGGAGATTATTAATTTGGATCTGAGAACATCACTCGATATCTAGAGTCCTCGCCAGGACTGTTCGCGCAGGTGGGCGTCCGGCTAGGGGACACCCTCAGGATGTGTTCGTTGTGTTTTTTGGAGCCTGGACAGAGGCTGGTCCGTGTGTGTGTGTGTGTGTGTGTGTGTGTGTGTGTGTGTGTGTGTGTGTAATCCAATAGGGAGAGGATTTTGAGAATAGACTCACTGGACCTTCTGCGTTGCTGGGTGGGCACTATGGGTCTTGAGTTCAAGTCACCCTTTGGTTAATATCAGAGTGACTTTGGTAGCCCGACCCGTTTTCTCCTCTTTGGTGAGCAGGTTGAATGCAGGGAGGTTAGGAGCCTGAGACATTTCTCTAGTGGAGGCCAGGAAGGTGCAGGCCCCTTCTTCACTCCCTCCAGTGGTGTCCCCAAGGTCGTCCCAGGGGACTGGGCTAGAAGTGCCCAAACAGGCTGGAAGGGGTGGGACAGAGCCAGGCAAGTCAGATGCACAAGCATACAGATTTTTTAACCCAGGGCCTTAGCAGCTGAGCTACATCCCAGCCCTTTTATTTTAAGACGGGGTCTCACTAAGTCACTAAATTGCCTAGCCTGGGTTTTAAATTTCAATACTCCTGTCTCAGCATCCCAGAGTGCTGGGATTACAGATGTGCACCACCACACCCAATTTGGGGTTCAGATTTTAAGAATTTACATGACACTGAGCGCTGTGCTTGGGCCTGTGTGTCTGTTGTGAGTGTGTGGGCCTGAGTCTGTTTCTGTATCCGTGTCTTCTTGGAGTCTATGTCTGTGTGTGCTCTCTCCCCTTTCCTCTTCCTTTGGCCAGATTTCCTCACCCACCTGTCTTTGAAGAGTGTGCGTGTGTGTGTGTGTGTGTGTGTGTGTGTGTGTGTGTGTGTGTGTGTGTTTAGGATCTTCACACTGTTTGCAGAACAAAGGTTGAGGGTTGGGTAGAGGGGTGGGCTAAACTGTTGCTGCCAGTACTGCAGCCCCAGAGCCCCCAGGGCTTGTCCTCAGCTGGTCTTCTGCCTTCTGGCTGCATGAATATTTCATCAGCAGAGGCTTTGGGTGGGCAGAGCACCGGTCAGCTGCCCCCTCTGCTGGCCGGCCCTGCAGAGCAGGAAGCGGCAGATTGAGGGCTGGGAGAAGAGCCCCAGAAGGCCTGCAGCTTCATGCTTGAGGTGTGTTTGGGGTGTGTGCAGAGGGGTGGAGGATGCCAAGGAGACAGGGATGTGGCATCCTCCATCTCATTCCTTAAACGAAGCTGGCTTCTGAGACCTTGCTGGCCACATTGACTTGGTTCCTGATCAGCCTTGGCTTCAAGTCTGTTTGGAGCCAGTGCCTGGGAAGGCTGCCCCAGCTGGGCACAGCGGTCCCGCCCTCCCCTCGGCTGTCTCTGCAGCCCCTGTTTCCTGGGCTAAAGCTGGAGCTGCTTCAGGGAACAGGGCATGGGCAGTGGTGGTGGTGGGAGTATGCAGGCTGGCTTTGAGCAAACCTCCCAGCCGCCTTGGGAGTCCTTACTCCTCCAAGATGAGGGGGAGCCTGGCTGTCTCTTTCTGCCAGGGCTCCCCCCATCTCTTGACCCAGCTCTCGAGGATAGACCTCTTCCTTGGTTTCCCTGCCCAGCCCACCAAGTTTCTCCCAAAATGGTTTCTAGCCTTGGGAGGCTGACCTTTGCACATGGGTCACCCAGGGGCCCCTGGTGTGGCTCCTGACAGGGACACCCATGGGCAGGCATCCCCAGCAGCATAGAGGATGGCAGGAGGGAGCAGCTTTCCAGCTGTGGCCCAGTGGCCCCTCTTCCAGTTCTAGCCCAGCTCTGGCTTTCAGTTTCCTCTGTGGCATCTGAAGCCGAGGGTGGCGACAGCTCCCTACCATTATCTTTGGCTGCTTCTCTTGCTGTTGTTTGCCCATTCTTGGGTCCCACTTGCACTCTGTGTGGTCCCTTACTTAGACTTTGGAGGGTGCTGTCTACTTCCTCCAGGGTCCTTGTCCCACAGTCTCGTCTCCTAGTCAGAGCCCCCTTCTTCCTCTCTTCTCCCTGCAGAACTTCACCCCCGGGAACTCTCCCCTCATCCTCAGCCCCAGCGTGTCTGTCTCAACCCCTGCCTGGAGCCCGGCTCCTCTCTGTCCCTTGTCCCCTTGAACCTACATTTTTCTCAGATGCCTGTTGGTCAGTGGGCCTTTCCAAGACCTCCCCATATCAAGCAGTGTCTCTCTGCCTAACAGTTTTCCCCCTTAACCTCTTTAAAATTTTTTATTGTGATAAAATATGCATAATGTAACAGCATTTTAAACACTTTCAGTGCACAGTTCAGTGGTGTTAATTACACTCACATTGTTGTGAAGCCAACCCCACCATTCTTCCCCCTGAACTTTGCTCTTCTTCCTAAGCTGAGACTCTGTATCCTTTAAACACTAACTCTATCTCCTTCTTTCCCTCAGGCCCTGGTTCATACCATTCTACTTTCTGCCCCTATAAATGTGCAGCTCTGGGGTCCTCAAACAAGCAGAATCACACAGCATGGGTCTCTTTGTAACTGGCTTATTCCATTTGGCAGAAGGTCTTCACAGATCATCCGTGTTAGGGGACAAGACAGGATTTCTTTCTTTTTAAAGGCTGAATAATATTCCATTGTATGGATAGACCACGGTCTGTCCATTCATCTGTTGATGTGTTTTGGGTGGCTCTCATGTTTTAGCTATTGTGAATGATGCTGCTGCAAACATGAATATACAAATATCTGGCCAAGTCCTTGCTTTCAACTCTTTTGGGTATATGCCCAGAAACAGAATTGCTGGGTCATATGTTAATTCTATGTTTAATTTTCTGAAGAACCACTGAATTGTTTTCATGGTGGCTTCATTATGTATATTCCCATCAACGATGCAAAGTGTTCCGATCTTTACATTTTCGCCAACATTTGTTGTTTTCTTTTCCTTCTGTCTTTTCTTTTTTGAAATAATAACCACCCTAAGGGGTATGAAGTAGCACCTCATTTAGTGACACAGAGCATCTTTTCGTGTGTGTATTGGCCATCTGTCTATCTTCTTGGAGCACTCTTCCTAACTTTTATCTTATTACCACCTGTCTTGTACCTAACTTCGGTGTTAGTTCTGTCTTTGAGCTCTAGACCTGAGCGCCATGCGGACAAGGACTTTGTTGATGGCTGCGGCCCCAGCTCTAGCTCCTAAGCAGATGCTCAATAAATATTTGTTGGCTGGACATCTGCTCTGAACACTTTCCTCAATCCATCTTCGTCCTAGCCTCTCCTGCCAAAATTTGGTCCATCTGACAGCCTGCCATTTGTGTTGTGGGAACATCAGTGGCACGAATAAGGCTTCTTAAAGGAGTCTCTGGTCAGGGATTCAGGCTCAGCACCCTGTATCTGGGATGGATTCCTGCTGTCTGCTTTCTCCTCATCCAGACACATTCCACTCAACCTGCCCTTAACTTTGGCATTGTCCACTTCCCCTGTTCCCCCTCAAACCTGTTCCCCCATGTTATCTCTCCCACTTCCTCTTGTGCCTCCACACCCATCTCTGGGACAAACACCACTTCCAGGCAGCCCCCTGGCCCTGGGCCAGCTCAGTCCTTCCAGGACCCCTTACTCTGAGGCAAGAGCAAGAGAGGCCTGTGACAGGAGGCCAGGCCAGGGGAGAGCCCAGGCTGGGATAGTGGCTCACAGGGGCCTTGACCCCACAATTGGCCCTTCCCCGGCTCTAGGTCCCCAGTGCCATTTTGTGTCTAGATCATGAGCTCCACCAAGTAGATCTGGGTCATGTCCATCTCTGTATCTCCTGCACCACCATGGAAGAGGAGAATCATTATTTGAGCCAGGTGTGGTGGTATGAGCCTGTAATCACAGGACTCTGACTTGTACAGAAAACTCCTATAGAGGTAAAAACCCACAGAAAGAAACAAATTTCCCATTAATCTATGAGTTGTTCTTGCTAGAATGTTTTGTTCCCTTGTTGCTAGGCCCTGCTCGCATCACTGCTCTCCACTTCACTGATCCCTACACTACCCCACCCCTTACCCTTTCTAGAAGCTGCATGTTCAATAAATAGTGGGAAGCTCCAGGAGACAGTTTCTTAGCCAGATAATAGATTTGACTGTCCTGGGCCCCCCATTTATGCATTAAGATCTTGTCGTGTCTTTTAAAATCCTGCCACTGTACCCTTGGTCAGGTGATTGGGAGTTTTTGCAACTTCCAATAGAGCCTCACTCCAGACCTGCTGTAATGGTTAGCTAGTGCTGTGTAACAAACACTCCAAAACTGAATGACTCAAAGCAACTACCTTTTTGCTAGATTTCACAAATTTGTAGGTTAGGAATTTGTGCAGAGCCTGGCTAGGTGACTTATGTGGTGGAGTCCCTTGGTGGTTTTCAGCTGATGAATGGGCTGTGGGCTGAAAGGTTCAGGACACCTTCCCTCACATGTCTAGGGCCCAGTAGGGATGGCTGGGGGTTGGGCTCAGCTCAATCTCTCTCCCTTTCTAGGTAGACTTGGGCCTCTCCAAGGTGCTCCCACTGCTCACTTGGTTCAGCTCTAAGAGTATTCCAAAGGAGAGGAATAGAAATAAAAGTCACCAATTTACCTATTTCTCTCTCTCCTCCTCTGGTAGTACTGGGGAATTGAACCCAGGACCTTGAGCATGCTACCATCCCCATCCCTTTTTACAATTTTTTGTTTTGAGACAAGGTCTTGCTAATTGCCCAGGTTAGGCTCAAATTTTGATCCTCCTGCCTCAGCCTCTGAGGTAGCTGGGATTACAGGCCTGG